GCATCGTAGTCGGCATCATCAGTGAGTTTTGCCATTCGCCGCACCAAACTACGAACTCGTCAAAGAGACTTGGCAAAACTCACTGATGATGCCAACTACGAGGCCGGTGAAACGTTTGAGAATGTATCAAGTCCACCGTCAGATGCTGGGAATCATGACAACTACACGGACTAGGTGCGTTCTACATGGTCTTCCTGAAAACAAGACCAAGTTGCGACAACGAGGTCAACCCACTTTATTATTATTTTTACACATAATCTACCGGCTTATCTGAACAAAGTAGATACGAAGAGAAACTGGGTTTCGATGAATCTCTCAAGATAACATTGTTAGAGGGACTTTAATTTCGTATTAGTGAATGAATGAGAGATACATCTCATATTAGTGATTTACTGGTAGTCACGAAAACAATACTTAATTCGAAAAATAAAGTATAGAAGTCGATCTTTATAGCAGATATACGTTTGCTTCATCGACAATTCCACCAAAAGCATATGATATGGCAAAAAGGCCTGGCCTTCCTTGAAATTCACATTTGCCCTGTGACCCACTTCTATCAATCGAAAGGAGACTGCGACCATACCAGAGGCCACAACATCTTGGTCTTCATATATTCATTAATAATAAAGATTAAAAATCGTCACGCCATTAATCCCATAACATAAGGTATTAACAGAAGTATATACCCCTAGCATAAGGGTCATGTGAATGCGAATTGACAACATCGTCGCATTCGATAGGTTGAATTCTACGATGCTGATGATACTGATGATGACATTCTTCTATGCCTACACTGGCTTCGACGAAAAAGTACAGATCTGTTGGCCTGATGGAGGAGGCCTGACAGGCCACTTTATCGGAATAAGCCTCCTTCCAGCCATTCCTCCCCTGCCCTGATGGACTTTCGATCTGGGTCGCGAATGTACTCGGCATAAATGCTCTGGAGCCTGGAACCACCGAAGCACTTCTCAACTTATCTCGAGGCGAGAGTCGCCAAAGAGAGCCATGTTGAGGCAAGTGGATAGGTTTTTTGCATGATCATCCCTTTTCATTGCATTCGCTGCAGCCTCGGTTCGCGGTTCACCGTTTGGAATTGCATTTCGAACCTCGTGGATTAAGTCCTCGAGCTGTTCACCCAAAGTCTAATCGTTTCAAGTGGCCAAGCCACTTGAGCTTGACTTGAGCCTACTTTCTTTCATCAGTCCTGCATTGACATCCGAATCTGGCATGTTGATGAGGCCGATAAGGCTGTACCATTATATTCACACAAATCTGGAACCCTCCCTCCCGTCTCGGGGCTGTATTCACTCTATCTCTCTTAACGTGGTGAAGAACTGGTAGTTGAATTTC